GAGAACAGTGGAACAAAAAGCTCATGGAAAGCACTATACCAGCAGCTTATTGTAAGTTGCTTCAGAAACTACAAGAAATGCATTGTTCGGGAAAGTTGCTCGATTATGACTTTTATATGTTATGGCCACTAAGTGCAAGCCTAAATATGATGTATCCATGGATATTTCTTGTTACTCCCTTGATTAAATTGTTATCAGAACGAGAGCTGTTCTACTCTGCTTTATTGAATAGATGGCAAACACTAGCACAATCTAACTTTATACCCTCATTGTTGTTCCAAGACTCAATAGCTGGTGATGCTACATTTCTTGATGAGGCCCTATATATTCTTCAACTACCAGTAGTCTTCCTACCTGCTTCGCATATGCTGCAGTTGCAGGAACTCTATGATAATGACATTGTCATTATTAATGAAGATAGTTTTACCAACTACTTTTTGTCAAAAATAAAAGTGTTTGATGCACACATAGAAATACGTAATAAAGTTATTTACACTCTATTATTAACTATTTCTATGTCAGAGCTGACAGGTTTTGATAAATTAGAGAATTTCAAAAACCAATTGAGAACTGTTCCATGTATCCCATGCTCACCTGATGGTGTCGTCTTAAAGCTACCAAGTCAACTTATTGATCCAGGAACATTTCATGATATGTTTGATCCGGATGATTCATTGTTTCCCTTTTCTGACTTCTGCCAAAATAATCCAGTGTGTTATACGATAATGGAGATGGGAATGATGTCAAGGAAACTGCCATGGGATATTGTCATCAAAAGTGCTCAGACAATTAAATCGGTTATCGTCATTGATGAGAATAAAGCAATGAAAAGAGTAAAGGCTATATTGAAATGCATAAACTCTACTGTGCCTGATGAGCTAAAGGAGACAAGTTTTTTACCTGTGGTACCAAAGCCTGAACATTACTTTTTACCTTGGAAAGGTGAAGGCCATGTGCTGCTATCTCCTACTGAATTAATGTGTGATTTACGAATGGGAACAAGAGAAGCTGCTCTCATTGTTGGTTCCCAAAGAGCAATTCTCAACACGAATTCTGTCAATCATGGAGGTTGTGGGTCCATATCACAAAGGGTTATTAAGCTATTGGAAATTCCTACTATGCCATCATTTGATGAAGTGCTTCACCACTTTAATACTCTAGTTTCTTCATTTACAGCTAAGTTAGGCAATTGTGACATTGTTGGAGAAATATGTTGTTACGTGTATCAATATTTTAATGACTCACTTGAGAATCCTATGATTTCTCAATTACTATTAAGATATTGTAATAAACCATTTATTTGGATAGGTAAAATCTTTGTTTGTCCATGTGATGTAGCTGTTAACTGGAAGCATGAAGATGGTCCTTTTCTTTACAAGCTACCATCAAAGCTTTGTGAATATAAAAATCTTTTAAAGTGTCTTAAAATTAAGGAAAATTTTACCTATGATGACATATTGTTAG